GCTCTGTACCAGTAAAGATTTACAGCCTCGGAAACCCTGTACAGGGTCACTATGAGTCAGAACCGACTCCACGGCACATAACAACAACAACAACCCTGTGCTAAGCTATTGCCAAGAACTGCTTCTGTGATGATGCACAGGTGGAAGGAGAGCTGTTGTTATTGTTAGTGGTCTAGTCTAGTCTGACTCATGGTAGCCCCATAGGGTTTCCCAGGCTATGACCTTTTGGAAGAAGATCACTAGGCCTGCCATTTGCACTGCCAAACTTTCAGCTAATAATCAAGCCCCTAACTGTTTGCACCACCCAGACCAAACCCAACCCACTGCTGTTGAGTCCACTCTGACTCATAACAACCTTGCAGGACAGAGTAGAACTGCTCTCTCTGTAGGGTTTCCAAGACTGTGAATCTTTATGGAAGCAGAGTGCCTCATCTTTCTCCTTTGAAGTGGGTGGTAGGTTCAAACAGCTGACCTTTCGGTTAGCAGCCCAACACTTAGCCCACTGCATCACCAGGGTTCTTTCAAATGAAACTAAAGTCCTACAGTCTGCTTTTGAAGAGTTTATTATTTAGCAGCACAGAGGATAAACATACATGTGCATTACACACAAACATGTGGGTAACTTATAACTAAACTCTCAAAAGTAAGAAGGTATAGACTAATACGATAATCACTGGAGAGTGAACCACAAGTTTGGTGGTTCGAGCCCACCAGTTACTCTGCGGGAGAAAGATGGAGCTATTGCTTCCACAAAGATTGATAGCCTCAGAAACTCTATGAGTCACTGTGAGTCGGAACTGACTTGTTCACACTTAACAGCAACAACAACAGCTCTAATAGGTCATTGGTCAACTGACTATCCTTTTGTTCTTCCCAGCCCTTTCCAAGTTTCCCAATTATGATCTTAAAGTATTAGCCATGGACTCAGGTGTCATTTGACCTAATGTATTTATTTACTTATAGTCTGATTTTTCTTAGGCCCTAGGTTTAGGACTGTGCCTAAACTTTAGGACTACCCATAAGCTGCAAGCAGTGGACTAGAATTGTCTCAGAGTTGGCTTTCCCAAGCGTCATGGTCCTCCTACCTCTTCCCACATTACATGGAAGTTGATGACTCAACAGGGGGTGTGGGATGGGAATGTTAGCACCAAGCTCCATGCTGCTTCCTTTTGTGACTGTTTGCAGCATGGTGCCAATGAAGATGCCGTGGATGCAGAAAACCGTAGTCCATTGCACTGGGCAGGTGTGTACCAGGGGACTGGCTGGAACAGGATTGCAGAGGAGGCTGTAAGGTGGGAAGTAGGAGGGGATAATGATATTTGGTGGGAAAGGCAGGCCAGAGTTGACTGCTGTCAGAGGGGATGCTGGTTCATGGTCTGAGCAGGTGGTCTTCCTGCTTCTACCTTAACCTATTCATCCCTCAACCTTTCCAGCCTCCTCTGGCTGTGCCTCAAGCGTGCTCCTGTTGTGTGACCATGAAGCCTTCCTGGATGTTCTGGATAATGTGAGTGCTAGATAGGTAGTTGGGTTGTGCTGCTGATCTCTCTGGGTTGATTGGCCAAATTCTGTGACCAGGGGCTAGATACAATCCTCCTCCTCTTCTTTCCCCAACTTCTCCTCTTCTTTCTCATAGAGGGGCTGCTAGGTCTTTTCTTCTGGAGGATTTCTACCCTCTGAAAGGGAGTATGTAGTCACAGGATTTGGCCTTTTTTCTGGAGAGGTGTGGGGAAAGGGGAATTGGTAGGATTATATCACTCTGGCTCTCCCTTGCTTCTCATAAGCCCCTTCCCACACTCTGTACAGGATGGTCGGACACCACTGATGATTGCATCGCTGGGTGGTCATGCAGCTATTTGCTCCCAACTGCTGCAGAGAGGTGCCCGAGTTAATGTCACAGACAAGGATGACAAGTGAGCCCTCCCCATCTTCTCATTCCAATTTCCAGGTCTTGAGCAATTTAGACTAAGAGCAATGGGAAAAATGTGTATGTGTGTACAGACACATTTCAGAGACATAGCAGGTTCCAGACCACTGCAATACAGTGAATAATATCTCAATAAAGCAAGTCACACGAATTGTTCGCTTTCCCAGTGCATATACAAATGATGTTTATACTACAGAGTAACATATTAAGTATACAATAACATTATGAAGAAGTTTGAAATACTTCGAGAGTGACCAGAATATGACACAGAGACACAAAGTGACCATATGCTGTTAAAAAATGGTACTGCTCAACATAGGCTTGCCACAAGCCCTCTATTTGTTAAAAAAAAAAAAAGACAACTTCTGCAAAGCACAATAAAGTGCTATAACACAAAGTCTATCTATATTAAGGAATAAGTAGTTTCATCTCTGAGTTTTGGGGGCCTCCTTCCTTCCTACTAGTTAGTGATTTACAAGAGCTCTGCCTACTGCTTTGCTGTTTTATTCTTGGGGAGTTTTCCATATAACTTTTCAGTTTATACTTTTCAGTTTCGCTGTCATCACCATCTCCTAGCATACATAGTCTCAGAAATAAAATGGATCTCTTTGGACCCATTGGCTTTACTGGTTTTCAAATAAACAATGGAATCATTTTTTCTAACAATAAAATAAATGCAGAACTTCAAACTCACAACCATCAAGTCAATTCTGTATGGTGTGACACAGTAGAACTGCTCCATAGAGTTTCTGAGGCTGTTAGTTTTTACAAAAGCAGACTGCCTCATTTTTCTCCTGCAGAGGTTGGTGGAGTCAAACCACCAACCTTTCAGATAGCAGCCTGATGCTTAACCCGCAGTGCCACCAGGGATTCTTCAATATATAAAGCAGAGAAAAATGGAAGCTTTCCAGTTGGCCCCTGGCTTTTAGACTGCTGGGGCTCCAAGGAATATTTTTTGAATGTTTTGTCATCTAATACTTTGTCATTGGCTGATGATGTTGGTCTGTTGTTTTCCTGATTTCACTAAATAAGAACTGAACCTGTGAATAGAATTTCTGGAACAAAGATTCCTGAGTTGCATAGGGGAAATCTCACATTTGTCCTAACTCACAGATCCGCTCTGATCCTGGCCTGTGAGAGAGGCAGTGCTGAAGTGGCTGAGCTTCTCCTGAGCCATGGAGCGGATGCAGGGCCAGTGGACAGAATGGGGAACGATGCTTTGCATTATGCTCTGCGCACACAGGACAAGGCACTATGGAGGCTGCTACGACAGGCCATGAAGAGGCGGCGGCGGGGAGGTATAGCCAATTCCCTGTTGTAACTTCAGGTTTCTCTTCCATAGTCTTACACTCAAAGAAGTTTCTTAGAATCCCATTTGTTTCATGGACATATTCTAGATGAAAAATAATTGTCACCTTATTTGAGAATTTACTTATTTATTGCTACTGTTATGAGATGATTCCGAATTCCCAAAGGCAATGTCACAAAATTCCTTAATGCAACCTTGTCTCTCACTGAGGACAACTCTGTCTGGCTGGTGTTATTGCTAGCATTTATTGTAATTTTTTTTTTTAAATCTACTTGTGTGATTTGCTGGTCAATATTTCTCTCCTTTGCTAGACTGGAAACCTCGCAGATCATAAGCCATTTCTGTTTGGTTTACCATTGAAATCCCAATGCCTATAGCAGTAGTTAAGTGCCGTCAAATCATTTCTGACTCATAGCAACCCTGCATAGGTTTTCTGAGGAGCAGCTGGTGGGTTTGAACCGTGGACCTTGTGGTTCACAGTCCAGTGCTTCTCCTACAGCACTACACCACGAGTCCCCTATAGCAGTAATTGGCACATAATAGGTGCCCAATAAATGAGAAAGATGAGGCTTTCTGCTCCCATGAAGATGTAAAAAGCCTTGGAAATCCTATACATGGTCACTATGAGTTGGAACTGACTTAGTGGCACTTAACAACAACAATAAATTAAATGAGTGAGTGAAAAAGAAAAAGAAATCTCTGGGATAGAAAATCAGAGTTTCTGGACAATTACAGGTACCAAGAAGTCATGTGTATCGATGAGTATTATATGGAGAAATTCTAAATTCAGAGTGTAGATTAGAAGCACACAACACAGGACCTGTCTCCTCTCTCATTTTCCCTGTGTCTCTTCTTACAGGTCAGGGACTAGTTCAACACCCAGATCTTGCATCCCAGGTAAAACCCCAAGCCCTTCCACCTTTTGCTTCTGACCCACCCCAGGCTATACAACTAGGACATCTCCCAGGCATTGGACCTTGGGGCAGCAAGACAGGGGAAGAGAAGAAAGGTCCTTCTAGGTTATGCTAACTGCATGACTACACCTCATTGTTCTCTTCTGTACCTAGGCCTCGTCATCTGAGCCTCAGGTGGGCTCTCCACCTAAGAGCTCATGGAGAGCAGAGCCCGAAGAAGAGCAGGAGGAAGAGGAGGATGAAGATCTGAGTTCAGAGGAGTGGAAGTGGAAGTTTGAAGAGGAGCAGAGGAAAGTTTCTCAGTTGAAACAAGAGCTAGTGCAAAAGACAGAAGAGTGTAAGAGTCAAGCTGCAGCCTACTTGGACCTGGAGAACCAGATTCGAGAGCAAGTGCAGGAGTTGGGGCTTTTCCTATCTCAAGAGCCTGGAGCTTCAGAAAGGCAAGGTTATAGTCTCCGATCTGGTGGGGATGGCATGGAGCAGGGTTGTCCACTAGACTTGCTGGCTGAGCGCATACAAGAGCTAAAGAAGCAACACCAGGTAGCCGCAGCAAATCCAACATTAACTCCCAAGAAGACCCAAGATTCACCCTCAAGAGAAATCCAGTATGAAGCCCATGGAAGGTCTCAACTAGAAGAAGAGGGGCTACCACAAAGCCCAAGGTTTGAGACTGCTGGGAAGGCTATGGGACAGCAAGTATCCACCAGTGGGGGTGAGACCCTTGATCCCAATCATATTGACCAACTGTGTGCTGACCAGAAGGAAAGGCCTCAGACCCCAGGGGCTGAACCAGCAGGCACAGAGGCTGAACCAGTGGGCCCAGCAGCCATGAACCAGCTCCTGTTACAACTAAGGGAGGAGCTGGCTGCTGTATGGCGAGAAAAGGATGCAGCCCGGGGAGCTTTGTCAAGACCAGTCCTGGAGGGGGCCTTGGGGACTCCCCAGGCTGAGGCTGTTGCAGCTGCCTGGGAGAAGATGGAAGCCAGGTTGGAGCAGGTGCTGGTGAGGTTGGATAGAGCAAAGGCAGGACTACAGGTGAAGCCTGAGAGCCCTGTCCAGGAACCCAGAGAGGAAACCCCAAAGGCAACCCCAGGGACCATCACCAAAGAGGATGAAGGGAAGGAGAAAAAAGGCCCTGGGACCCGAGGAGAGCCATTAGGAGCACCTGGAGGGGAGCAGGCCCCAGGAGGAGGCCTGCCAAAGGTACAGCTGGAGAAAGAGGTGTCAGCCCTGAAGCTGAGCAACAGTAACTTACTAGAGGAGTTGGGGGAGCTGGGACGGGAGCGACAGCGGTTACAGGGTGAGCTACAGTCCTTGAGTCAGCGGCTACATCGGGAGTTTGTGCCCAAGCCAGAGGCACAGGTCCAGCTACAGCAGTTGCGACGAAGTGTGGGGCTGCTGACAGATGAACTGGCCATGGAGAAGGAGGCCACAGAGAAGTTGCGGAAGCGTCTAGCGTCCCAAAGCAGTGGTCTCAGAGGGTTGTGGGATTGCCTGCCCCCAGACATCGTAGGCAAGGGCAGCGCCCGGAGGAGCATCGCAGCCGAGCCCCTGGAGGATCTGCAGGCCTGCATCAGCACCCTGGTGGAAAGGCACCGGGAGGCCCAGCAGATGCTGGCTCGGCTGGAGGAGGAAAAACAGCAGCTGCGGGGAACCCCGGCCCAGTGTGGGGGACTAGAGATCTCCTCAGTGGTCCCAGCATCCCCTCAAGTGGCTGCTCTGGAGCAAGATCTGGGCAAGCTGGAGGTAGAGCTGCGGGCCGTTCAGGCCACGATGAGTGGGAAGAGCCAGGAGATCGGCAAGCTGAAGAAACTGCTCTACCAGGCCACCGAGGAAGTGACCGAGCTTAGGGCTCGGGAGGCTGCCAGCCTGCGGCAGCACGAGAAAACTCGGGGATCCCTGGTAGCCCAGGCTCAGGCTTGGGGCCAGGAGCTGAAGGCCCTGCTAGAAAAATATAACACAGCCTGTCGGGAAATGGCTCGGCTCCGGGAGGCGGTGGCGGAGGAGCGCCGCCGGAGCGGGGACCTGGCTGTGCGGGTCACAGAACAGGAGCGCCAGGCTGGCGAGATGCGCAGGCGCTCAGAGCAGTTCGAGAAGTCGGCAGAGCAGCTCAAGCAGAAGATGGAGCATCTCATTGAGGCTTGCAGGAGCAAGGAAGCCAAGGTGAGCAGACAAGGCCGCTGGGAAAGTACTGGGGAAGGGTTCTGTGTTTCTGAATCCACCTGTGGATTAGATGCATACCCCCCACACTGGCTGCCAATCATTTGCAGAGACATCACTGTGTTCTCCTGGGCCTGAGCGTTTTGAAGTTGAGACTGGAGGTGAAGTAGGGCATAAATAAAAGAGAGAAAGGGCTAAGTACTAAATTTTGGGACTTAGGACTCAGAAGCAGTGTGGTCAGAGGTACCAGAAGTGGAGTATTATGGTTTATAAGTATATTTACTTCACTAGAGTCCTGGTGTGGCACTGTGGGATAAAGCACTGGACCAAAAGGTCAGTTTAAACCACAAGGTCTGTATTTCAAACTCACCAACCACTCCTTGGAAACCCTATAAATAGTCGCTATGAGTCGGAATCGACTCTTCGGTAATTAACAACAAAGAGCCCTGGTGTGATGCTGTAGGATAAGCACTGGACTACTAACCACAAGGTTGGCAGTTCAAATCCATCAACTGTTCCTCAGAAGCCCTATACAGAGTCACTATGGGTTGAAAGTGACTCACCAGCTTTAACAACTTAACAGCGTATTCTCCAGGGAGTACTGTGGCTCTGTAGGATAAGCAATGGACTGCAAACCACAAGGTCAGTGGTTGGAGCCCACCAACGCTACTTGGGAGAAAGATAAGGCTTTCTGCTTTTGCAAATATTTACAGCTTCCTTATACAAGATAGTTATGAGTTGGAACTGACTCACTGCACTTAACAAACAACAGTGTATTCTTCCAAGGAGCTCTGGTGGTGTTGTAGAATAAGCACTGGACTGCTAACTCCAAGGTCTGCAGTTCAAACCCATCAGCTACTCCTTGGGAGAAAATTGAGACTTTCTGCTTCTGGTAAAGATTTACAGCCTAGTAAACCTATAGGGTCACTATGAGTCGGTATCAACTCGATGGCACCTAACAACAACAACAAACGTAGACTGCAAGGTTGGTTTGAACCACAGGTCGACAGTTCAAACTTACCAGCCGCTTCTTGGAAACCCTATACAGGGTCACACTATGAGTCAGAACTGACTCCACAACACTTAACAATAAGCCCTATCATTCCAAATGGACTGGATGGTGGTGGGGTTTTTTAAAATGTATTTTCCTGGGAAGAGATATAGTAGTATGGTGAGTGACGAGGTGTTGCTGAGTTTCTGAGGAGGTATCTAAGGGAATGATGGGTCAAAAAAGTAGATTAGACTACTGTGGTCCTCTCCATTTCTCCCACTTAAATCAAGGTGAGTTCTACGTATCAACAAAAGATTGCTGTTAGCAAATACTTCTGTATATGGTATCTACTATAATATTGTTGTTAAGTGTCGTCGAGTTGGTTCTGACTCATAACAACCCTGTATAGGGTTTCTGAGGAGCAGCTGGTGGGTCTGAACTGCTGACCTTATGGTTTGCAGTCCAGTGCTTATCCTACAGCACCACACCAGGAGGCCATCCACTGTAATGTTATTGTTGTTAAGTGCCAACAAGTTGGTTCCAACTCATAGCAACCCTGTATAGCATTTCCAAGGAGTGGCTGGTGAGTTTGAACCACCGACCTTGTGATTCAAACCAACCTTGTGGTCTAGCGTTTATCCATATCAGGATTCCATCTACTGTAATAAGATACCTGAATTCACCCAATGGATGCTCTAAAAAGTGAATGTGAATCTATTTACAGCACTTCTCCTGTGAAATATGGTATATGAATTCCAAATAATCAGCTTAAAAATTAATTTAGTAATTTGAGAACTACCTGTGAAATGAATGAATTCAGAATGTGTATACATGATTAAGTTTAGACTGATTTAAAAATATAAGAAGTATAAGTTTTGTGTAGTCTGTTGTTGTCCTTTATTTGGTTCCAACTCATAGCAACCCTGTATAAGGTTTCCAAGGAGGGGCTGGTGGGTTTGAACCACCAATTTTGCCTTTATCAGTCTAGTACTTATCTTACAGAGCCATACCAGGACTGCTGCTGCTGTATGCAGACAGATTGGTTTCAACTCACAGCAACCCTGTAGTGTTTTCAAGACTAAATCTTTATAGGAGCAGAATGCCTCATCTTTCTCCCAGGGAGAAACTAGTGGATTTGAACTGCTGACCTTGCAGTTAGCAGCCCTATTCCCTAACAGGTCCCTTATACCAGGAAGAGAGTGAATAACAAAGAAGGAATGTTATACTGAATAGGAATTAGTGTCTGGGGGTACTAATTACAGAAAGGAAGAATTTTGTGCTAAAGGGAGTTGAAGGAGAAGATGAAAGTAGATGTATGGTCAAAAGAAAATATATAGTGTAGTGGTTAGTAATGTGGTCTCTGGACTCAGAATTTCAGTTTCAGACATTTACTGATTGTCTAATCTTGGGCAGGTTATTTAACACCTCTAAAGCTCAGTTTTCTCATCTTGAAAATGGGAGTGATAGTAGGGGTTGTTATGAAGATTAGGAACTTTGGTAGCACAGTGTTTAAGTGCTTTGTAGGTAACTGTAAAGCTCAGCAGTTCAGCTGCTCTGAGGAGGGAAAGCTATGACAGTCTTCTTCTATAAGGATTTACAGCCTTAGGAACCCTATTGCGGGCAGTTCTACTCTGTCCTATAGGGGTGTTATAAGTTGGAATCAACTGGATGGCAGTGGGTTTGTTTTCGGGGTGAATATTAAATTAAGAAATTCTGTTTTAAATATTCAGAATTTGACTCACCATAATAAAAAGTAGTTTTTATTATCATTCCTACTACCCACTATTGCTATTGCTGCTGGTTACCATTAGTTGCATTTGTGCCTGTCTCACAAACCCCATGGGCTCATCATCCTAACTCAGAAGTAAGTTAGGATCTAGCCAAAGTTAACAACATAGACCCTGGATCAAAGAGATCTTGGCGCAAAGCATAATTTCATCACTTATTAGCTGTATGCTTTTGATTTAGGCGCCTTGTCTACAAAATGGATTTGATTAAACAACTCAGAGAGTTGTTTTGAGTCTTTGAAATAATAATGCATACAAAAGTATCAAAGCAAGTTGACTGTGACCCTGGGTGTACGTACGATTTGGGATGGGGGGGCGTGTCTCATTGTTTTCTGTCTCCTTTTGGCCTCAGATCAAGGAATTATTGAAGAAACTAGAGCAGCTTTCAGAGGAGGTTCTGGCAGTTCGTGGAGAAAATGCTCGCCTTGCCCTACAGCTACAGGTATGTTTTAGCCTTCAAGGAAACAGGAGTTGCTAGAGAAAAGGTGGATGATGGTGGTGATGTGTATGTGGAAGAGATTCTGGGAATTACAGGGCCCAGTGGGCCAAGCTGTACCAGGTCACCTTACTGTTTCTCCTTATTGTTCTTATGCTTATGGGATCTGGATGAGTGTGGGAAAGGTGACTCTATGACCTTCCATTGATGCTCATTTCCAGGATTCTCAGAAGAACCATGAAGAGGTCATCTCTACCTATAGGAGTCATCTGCTGAATGCTGCTCGGGTGAGCATGGTGGAGTTTCGGGGGAGGCAGAGACAGAGCATTTGCCTGAAGGTATTATATGTCTCTGGTAGCATAGTGGTTACAAGTCAGGCTGCTAACTTCAAGGTCAGCTTGTTTGAAACTACCAGCGGTTCCGCGGGAGAAAGATGAGGCTTTCTGCTCCCGTAAGGACTTATAGCTTCGGAAACTCTGTACAGGGCTGCTTTGAGTCAGAACAAACTCCACGGCATTTAACTATTGTATTTGGATCCAGTGTCTTATCTGGACACACTGGCCATTCCTCCGGGAGCTGGATTTTAGATGTGCCAGTGTTAGGTGGTTGGATCTCAAGAGAGGTTATGCATGAATGCATTGGAAGAAAAGTGTTTGCCCTCCTTTTTTTTTTTTTTTTTTTTTTAAATAAAGCCTTTTTTCCTGGGCCAACTTATCCCTCACCAAGGAAGAAGAAGTGAATCGCTTCCTCATTGATTACGAATAATAATAATCAAAAAGAATCCAACACCTGTTCTGTACCAGGTGCTTTGCTTTTTATTACAATTGTAACCCTCCCAGGAATCTGAAGAAAGACATTATCTTTTTAAAAAAAGATAAGGAAACCACCGAGGGGGAAAGATGAGACTTTCTGCTCCTGCAAAAAAATGGAAAGCCTCAGAAACTATACAGAATCGTTCTGAGTCAAAAACCAACTCGTGACACTTAACAACAACAAAACTACCATGAAGAAGTGAAGTACTATAAGTGATTGTTGTTGCTAAGTGCTATGGACTCAGAGAGACTCTGTAGTGAGGGCATATGTAAATAGCATCTTTCACACTGCAGAACTTTCCCTTGGCTGAATCCCCATTTTCTGTTTTTCATTTCCGTATACTTCTTTCTTGCCACTTAACAGGGCTACATGGAACAGGATGTGTACAATGTCCTTCTGCGAATCCTCAGCATGCAGGAAGAGTAAGGTAGTCTGGGTTCTGCGGGATACAGGACTTCTCTGTTGTGAATTGTGGGTTAAATGTGATGGGGAGGAAGCTTAAGAGAAACGACTTGGGAAATACGGCTTGGGAGGAAGTTGGAGTCTCCTTTTACTCCTATGGGTGGCTGACACTGGGGAGTACTGTGAGGCATAGAGCATTTGAGGTGAGGTTGAAGACATAATATAGAGAATCACTGGGTGGAATTAGGGATCAGTGAGCAGGTGGACTGAAGAGGCCTTCACTCATGGGATTGAAACTGAGCGCTGTTGGGTGACTTCTAAGGCTTAGGGAATCAAGATGCCAGTGAAAGATAAATGATGGCGAGATAGTAGTGCACAAGTGTTCCCGCTGGTGGGATTCTACAAATTCCAGAATATACTTCCACACTATTCATTCAAACAGCAGTCATCCCTCATTCTTTCCACCCCTATGCAGGTGGCTGTCTTCTCCAGAGCAGCTAGGTGAGATCCCTTTTTACATCTTGGCATAGGTGGGAGGAAACAGGATATGGGACTATGTCCATTTCACCCTTGAATTTCTTCTTCCAGGGAACAAGAGCACCCTTGATTGCCAGACTCCATCAGGCTATGGTGGGTGGTGGGTTGGTCACTGAGGGTGGTGTGAATGAGGCTTCATCTGACTTTAAGGAGCCCAGACCTGGGAACTTGGACTTGGAATTGAAATGGATGAACTAGAGGAGATGAAGATAGAAGATCTTTGGAAAATAAAGGAGGCAAGATGGTGCTGAGTGTCTTTGTTTTGTTTTATCTCGAAAATTACTAATGGTTCTATAAATTAGCAACTTTCAAATTTTGTTTATGAACTGTAGTTAAAAAAACCCAAACCTAACATTTTACATCATGTACGTACATATCTGATTCCTCATGTGGTGTTGTAGGATAAGCACTGGACCACAAGTTGGGTTTGAACCATGAGGTCAGGGGTTCAAACTCATCAGCTGCTCCTTGGAAACCCTATACAGGGTTTCTATGAGTTCAACCGGACTCAACAGCACTTAACAACAAATGTACATATCTGAAATTATACTTAACCTTATTGTTTCTGTCCTAATCTTTTCTTTCTTTTTTTTAAAGAAGATGCTTATCATGATCCAATCACTAATGGATGAAGAATCACAGTTTGAAAAACACAGCCTTCAGTGAAAATGGGAATGGAAACATTTCTTTTTTTCATGTCTTTTTCTTACAGACACAACTCCAATCTTATTTCTCTATCTTGGGACTCCCGAATCTATGACCTTTTTTGAGAAGGAGAAATTGAAAGACCTGGATTTTCTTCAAGATATACAATCTAAAGTATTATTTCATATGTCAGATCATATGTGGAGATTTGAGGGTTTATTTTGTGGGGATGAAAAGCCTGGTTCTTGGGGAACAGATGCAAGGGCACTCAAAGTTGGTTTCTTCCCTCTGGCTCTGTACTCAGATGGAAAAACTGTATCTCTCTTGGGCACCTCCCCTGGGTCTCCTCCCCTTCCTGCTCCTCCACCAGCCAGACTGCTAGGTGATCCAAAACCTAAGATTGCAGTTTGCCTGCAGACACACTGATTCCTCCCATTCCTTCTCTCAACCCGCCCTCTGCTGGGTTATGCTGGGTCAGACAACAGTGGTTTGGCAAAAAAGATACTAAATTGCTTCTTTTTACCGACCAACCTGTTCTAAATCTTCCAGAAAGAAAGTACTAGCCTTAGGTGGGAACTGAGACAGCCAGAAAGACGGGGGAAAGGAGGGAGTGAAGACTCTGTGAGGTGGTGAGTAAAGAATTTGTGAATCATTTTGTGCTCAGGAGATGCCAGGCTGGGTTGACAGAAGTGGGGGAAGGCTGTAGTGGAAGAAGGGTCGTCGATCTGGTCCTAGAAAAGGCACAGGTCAGCTTTTGGGTCTGTGTTGGCTATTGGGTCAGAAGGGAAAAGCTTTCTGAGTATGTAGGTGCCAAGAGATTAAAAAAACCAGAAAACCCACCAGAACTCATTTCAAGAGACATTACTTTATTACAGAAAGAAAATCATAGCGATTAAAAGAGAATAAAGAAGATAGTTTGCTGATAAGGGAATTTACCTACAAAGGGTGAAACACAGTTGTGTCCAGTGGTGGCTGGCTGGGTCTTTTTATATCATGGGGTATTCACAAGGATAAAGGCAGTTAAGGATGATATGCGTAACTAGGAGAGGCTTGTTTTTATTAGGTGCCATTGAGTTGGTACTGACTCATAGTGACCTTATGTACAACAGAATGCAACACTGCCCAGTCCTATACCCACCTCACAATTGTTGCTATGCTTGAACCTATTCCTGCTGCCTCGGTGCCAATCCATCTTGTTAAGAGTTTCCCTCTTTTTTGCTTACCTTCCACTTTATCAAGCATGATGTCCTTCAGGGACTGGTCCCTCCTGATAATATGTCCAAAGTATGAGAGAGGAAGTCTGGCCATCCTGGCTTCTAAGGAGCGTTCTGGCTGTGCTTCTTTCAACACAGATTTGTTTTTTCTTTTGGTGGTCCATGGCACTTTTTAATATTTGCCTCCAACACCATAACTCAAATGCATTAATTTTTCTACGGTCTTCCTTACTCACTGTCCCACTTTCACGTGCATATGATGTTATTGAAAATAGCATGGCTTGGATCTGGCCCACCTTAGTCCTCAAACTGAGTTAGGAGAAGTAGGAGAGTCAAAAGTTCTGAGGTGTCTGCCCCTTCCTAGAGAACAAAGGGTTTTCAGCAAGCCTAGTGGAAGGAAGGGTTGTAGGCTCCTTTCCTAGCATGTTATTGTTGTTGTTAAGTGCTGTCGAGTCAGTTCTGACTTATAGCGGATGTATACTTATAACCTGTATAGGGTTTCCAAGGAGTCACTAGTGAGTTTGAACTGCTGACCTTCTGGTTCAAACCAACACCAGAACACCCCTGCCTAGTGTATGCATAACTAAAGCAGGAGAACAAGATAGTTGGAGGAGGGGGTGGGGACAGGTGATAGGATTTTGAGGTGACCCTGGCATGGTCATTTTGGATCATTAAATTTGTGTCCCTACAGTGGGTGGGTGCAGGGCTACTTAAAGTGTGGGAGAATGGAGGGAGGAAGGATTAAATGGAGGAGGAGAGCAGCATCTAAAAGAAGAGCATTAAAAAGCTCCGTGTGATTTCTATTAAGGTCAAAAGAACCTCTTCTTTCTGTCTGCTATCAGACTTACCAAAGAATATAGGAGGACTGTTTCATTCCTTGTTCTATCTGTAGTGTCAGGAGGGAGGAATGAAGAAAGTGCAGAGAGAAGGGCCCAGAGATTATCTGACTAAGTATGAGTCAGGAGACAGCTCTGGTAATGGAGGTCAGGCCTTTGGCTCCCTGGCAGGCTCCTGGGAGGTGATCCCAGGATGGCTGGGTGGTAGGTGTGATGGGTACTGTTCATGAAGACAAAGGAGTGCAACCAATTCCGTCTTCCCAGACAGTCTCCCACTACACAACCCCATAAACTATGACCCCTGCAACCCTGGTGGTAGTGGTTATGTGCTGTGTAGTCGGTTCCCACTCATAGCGACCCTGTACAGGGTTTCTGAGGCTGTAAATCTTTATGGGAACAGAAAGCCTCATCTTTCTCCCGCAGAACAGCTGGTAGTTTCAAACTGCTGACCTTGTGGTTCACAGTCTGATTCATAACCACTACGCTACCACCTACGCTAAGTCTTAGAATTTTCTTTGACTTTATAAAGAAATTTTTCACAAAGTAATTCTAATGTTTCCCCCTATTTCTCCTGGGCTGTCTGTTTAATGGGACTTTAGAAGGGACTGATTACTCATGCTAAACCTCCCCTTTGTGCCCCAGGCTTCACATGGAAGAGTGTGTGGTTGACAGTAGGTGAAATTTGGGCCATGACTGGAGTTCGTTCATACTGTCTTTGCCTTTAATCTGGAACTTGGCCCTAACATTCAGTTTCCCTCCTATCTCTGTTAATTAATTCATCAAGTCTTTAAAAAGTCTACTATATGCCAGGCACTGGGGATACTATGAGAACAGCACAGAAAAAGTTCTTATCCTCATGGAGCTTGAATGCAAGTTGGTTCTCAGTTTTCTGTTATCCAGCAGCAGGAATGCCAGAATTAGAAAACCCAAATCCACTTTTAAAGAGGATCCTTCTTTCATGAAATCACTAAGAATCAAAGTGAGGTTGACTTTCTAATTTGGTATAGCTTTATTGAAGGATAATTAACATAAATAAACTGCACATATCTATAGGGTACCGCCTGAGATATTTTTTTTTTTTTGCTTTAAAAAAAAATTTTTTTTTAATGTTTTATTGTGTATTGTGTGATAGTCTACATGGAGGAACATTAGTTTTACATTCCTTCCATCATTCCATCATACATCGTCTCATTGCCATAGTTACCATCCTGTCCATGCATCATCACCCAACCAAAGGGTATACCCTGCAATCCCGCCCACCCTCCCCTCACGGTACTCAGCACTGCCTGAGATATTTTGACATATATATAAACTTGTGAAACCAAGATGGTCATCAGGACAATGAGTAGATCATATTCTTCACTCCTAAGTTTCCTCATCCCTTTGTAATCACCTTCTAACTCCCCTGATAAATACTGAAATTTTTAGGTAATAACAAACTAATATATAGTAACTTTTGATCTAGAGGACTCAACAACAGCAACAGCAAAAAGAAGGTTCAGGACCTGATGAAGATTCAGGTGTTAGAAGGGGCAGTTGGGATTTGGACCAAATATTTGAGTGTGAGTTTAGCTTGAGGGTGCAGACACCAAAGTATCAAGGAAAGAACCTGAGTATCGGGAGAGCGAATGTCTTCCCTACATACACAATCCACAAAGTAATTGGCCTGGTCCAGTTCAACAGTTATTTGAGAATATTGGTAAGCTGACACCTTCAGTCTTATGACTTAGGTGGTGGGGTCTCACAGTTGTTGTTAGGTGCCGTTGAGTGGGTTCTGACTCATAGTGCCCCT